TTACCCTAAGGAGAACTATGGGGAAAAGCCTTAACCCCATAGTTCTCCTTTAATGCAAATAAATGGGTGTCTAAGCAATACTAATGGTTGTTGATTTACCATTTTTAAAAAAATGAAGACTTTAAATTAATTGCTACATCATAGTGACTTCTCAAAACAACCCATCCCTAATATCTACCCAGGCCACCAAAAGTGAATCGGCCCCACCGCAATCGCCAACTGATGCCGGCTCACCAACCGAACAACATCAGCAGTAAGGCATCCACCCATGCCACAAACTAAAGCTTAGATCCTCTCAGGCCAAATGGATTCCCCTTCCTAACGGGATCACAGAACATGCTGCAGGACTCCTTCCACCCTTCATGAACACAGAGGAGAGGCCAACATTAACACCTCTCACACAAGATTAACATTATCAGCTGTGAGGGTTTTTCCGCTGTCAATTTGGTACTGGATCCTTCTTCCCCACACGGCGGACCAAGCTTAGTCCCTCGCAGCCACTAGATGACCCGCCTGACACCACACCACTCCTCATGGTCACAAATTGCTGAACTTTCTTCAAATCCCGCCACATGTGAGTGCATATCAACGAATATTGTGTTGCCCCTTCAAAAACCTACCTTATTGCACTAGGTTGTGGTGCTCCAGTTCTCCCTTTTTGTTTTTCCAGGATACATCATAGTGAAAACAAAAGGCTTACCTTAAAGGCCAACTCAAGACAACATTTTGGCATGGCTACAGTTTGAGCCTCAGGTTTTTTATTGCTGTTTGTGTCTCTACTGGTGTGCTTTATCCCTACTTTCTGTCAGAACAGGAAATGATGGGAGATTTCTCAAATAGGGACATGGAACATAGACAAAACCAAAACCCCATTTTTAGTAAACTAAGGAAAGGTTAAAACATCTGACAACATTTTTGTAGTGTCTGTACCCTACTTGATCACGCTCCATTACTTGGATGGCATCACAGGTACTAGAAATTAGGGAAAATCTCCCTAGTGGGGTCAGAAACACCTGTGAGTCATTTTAACTCTTACTCACCCTATCTAAAACTAAATTAAAAAAAGACCAGATTTAGATTTAAAAGGACAACAGGGATGAGCAGGTGAGGGGGAAATTGGAAGTTTAAAGGAGGAAATAGAAAAAGATGTTAGCGGAGAGCCATTTAAAAGAGAACTGCAACCGAGGTGGTGGTTAGGGTTCGGGGGTTTCTGGTCCTAGGCAGTGGACCTATTGTATTTGGTATGTTGTTTTGAATACCTATATCTCTTTGTGAATACTTGTATGATAAACCCTTGGAGACATATTGAAAAAAGAGAAAATGTAATAAAATATGTTTTTTAAAAAAAGAGAACTATGGCCAAACCTTTTTTTGGCTGTAGTTTTCTTTAGGGTCACAGGAGGACATTTACTGTCATCCTCCTGTGACCCAAAACTCAGCATATAGCAGGCTATTGCCAGCTATATGCTGACAGCGCAGAGCCGCACTTCAGCTGGGACAAATCCCGACAATATTGTGGGGATGTACCCCACTACCTGATTGACAGCTAGCTCTGGCTCTCTAGAGCCAAAGTCAGCCCAACCCCTCTCCTGCCTGTCCCTCAAATGAGCGTAAGAGGAATGGAGAAGGGAGGGGGAGTGTGTTACTGACAGTCAGCGCTCTCTGCAGGGAGAAGATCTTGAACTGAGTGATCAGCAGTTTGTGATCACTCAGTTCTCGATCTATAGTCGAGCCGATTTGTATTTTACTCATCTCATATTTCACCTTTAAATAAGTTTGGATGGAAATGGGGAAGAAAACTAGGGCCCCCTTCACACAGCCGCCTGTCATTTTCGATCAGCAGGGGATCCATGCACTGATCCGCTGCTGATCAGAGCGGTTAGGAATGGACATCCGTATCCAGGTTTTTTTCCTCTATCTTATGATGGAGAAAAAACTGAACTTACTGGACCCATGTAAGGTCTCTGGGGAGTTGGATGTAAACAGACATGCGTCTGTGTACATCAGATTACCCCTGATACACCACGATCAGGTTTGCCAAAATAGAACTGTGTTCCATTTGGTTTTCTGAAGCCAGACGGATTTGGGGTAATGGGATGTAAATGGATGCATGTCCAAACATGGAGGTTTGGAGTCACATATGGGGGAGTTACCTAGGGCGTTCTGCATGCAAATCCAGCCTGCCTTGAAAAGACCAACCCTCCAGACTGAAATCTGCCCATCAAGGCATTTTGATATTGCTATAACTCTTCCCAAAAACAAGTCCATTGCCTGCATCAAGGGATCTTGAGAGGAGTACTCAAGCTATGTACAGCACCTTGCTGCCCCCTGCCTCCAGCCATCATCTGCCAGCATTGCATGGAGGAGTACAGAGACCAAGTGAAACCATCACTGAGTCTAAAATAAGATAAGTAATTAAAACTGAAAGAATTTCTGGAAATATCATTAGCATGTTAGCATGTTAATGAAGAGGGATACAGGGAAGACGAAATATAAGCAGATTAAACTTCAACTTTAATGTTGCTCTCACTGTTATATTAGATAATAAATTCAAATACTGTGCTGTGGCATGGCCTTCAATTCCAACCATTTCTACTTTCTGCCAAAGTTCTCTAAGCTGATTACATGTCATACAGGTTTGCATTCATAAGTATGTCATTGTGCAATTGTTTAGTCTGTTTATGACAGCATATGTATATTTATTAGGCAATCATCACTTTATTCGGTATTATGCATATGTTATTCCACAAGAAGTTCTACATAATTGTTTCTCCTTTCTGTATAGTGCCATTACATTTGTGATAAACCCTCCCTACCTCTTTATACAGCATCATAAATTATGTCTATGCCCTATCAGTACTGTTATAATATATTCCAAAAAACTGTATAATATGTCATATATTACAATAAAAATCACTTTATGCTAACAATTAGGGGGAAAAAAGTCTAATTTAAAGCCAATCTTCCCCCCACTGCACTAGCACTGCACTTCCTCATTGTTTATTTTTTACTCATCTTGCCTGCAATGCTGAAAAAATCTTCTTTGAAGACTGAGTGATGTCTCAACCCAGCCCGAATATCTTCCTGTTCCAGCAGTACCAAGCGTTGGAGTTTGTGGGGCTATATTACATGGATCAGCCCTGCAGAAATATCGGGTGGAGAGCATTGAGAAGTTAAGGGCCTCATTCACACTATGCAATCTGGGATTCCTGTGGCAGGAACCTATGGATTCCTGCGGCAGGGATCCCAAATCTCCCATTTAGAAGAGGCCGCTGTAACCCATTCATGTTAATGACCGAGTGACAGCGGCCGCATCTGTAAGCAGCAGTCCGCATGTAATTACACATGATATGATTACATGCGGTTAGGAATAGATCACTGTCCCTGGGTGCACAATAGATGTATTTTTATTAGTGTTTATTACAGGTATTTATATAGCGCCGACAATTTACACAGCATTTTACATAAAAAATCTCTTTGCATATAGTGTCTTGACCGGGATTTAAACCAGGGACTCACATTGCAGCAAGGTAGAAGTGCTAACCACTAAGCACTACCCCTTCCAGTGATCTTCACTTTGCGTTTCTGCCCAGCCCCATGCAGCCTTTGAAATAAACACCTTTTTTATAAGGTATTTTTTGTGCTGTCGTTATTTTTGTTTCAAGTTTTTATTGTGATCTTATTAGCACAGCAGCTGATACATTGTTCAAGAAAAAAAAAAGCACTAAGGGCCTGTTCACACTAGCCTGTTCTCTATAATGGAACATTTTAGCAGGGGGGCAACGCGTTGTGACAGCTCTGGCAGATTTTTGTAACTTTATTCGGAGTGTACAAACTGTACACTCCATTCAGCTCCTTCTCAGAAGCGCAGTTTACTGTAGCATGTCGCATTTTTTCACAGTGCACCACATTGCGGATAACACTCGCCTTGTGGTGTGTACGAGGCCCATAGCCCTAGCAGTGACTGGTGTTGTTCAATTGCTAAAAAAAAAAAGCCAGTCTCTGCTTATAGTGTAAACGGGCCCTTAGCAATTTCTATAGATTTTCTCAAATGTGTTAATTCACACTGTATAGAAGAATGTTTGAGAAGACTCCAAAGAAACTCTATGTTACATAGTTACATAGTATTTGAGGTTGAATAAAGACATTAGTCCATCAAGTCCAACCTATTAGGATCTCATTCTAGGAGTACCCGTACCCCTGTATATTACGGTCCCTTAAGAAATCGTCCAAAAGTTTCTTGAACAATTCCACATTATTTGCTGAAATCACCGCCTGTGGCAGTGAGTTCCAGACCCTAACTGATCTTACTGTGAAGAACCCCCTTCGCACCTTGTGCTGGAATTTTTTTTCCACCAATTTTAGGTTATGGCCTCTAGTTTTTGTAACGGAGTTAATTTTAAACAGTTTATCGCTAATGTTGCTACCACCATTAAACATTTTGTACATGGAAATCATATCCCCCCTTAATCTCCTCACCTCTAATGTGAACATGTTTAAATTTAGTAGCCTCGTCTCGTAGCTCTGGTCCTCCATATCCATACTCCATATGTTCTCAATAAAAAGCAGTTCTTACTTTGTCATCCAGAGCAAACAATCAGCATTTTCTTTTTCTGAGTTCCCCATAGCAATAAGTTAAGAATATTCTCTCACTGTGTTGCCTATAACAACCAATCAGTATTTTTCCTTCTCTTACTGTGTTTCCCATAGTCCCCAAAAATGATTTCCCTTTAAAAGTGGCACAGAGCACTCTATTTTTTATGTTTAGCATATTATAAATTATTGTCCACTGCAAGCTGTTATTATTGTTTAGTTTTATTTTTTTCATGTGTCTATTTTCTTTCCAGTTTTTGTAATCTTATTAGCACACCAGATGATAAATTGTTTAGATATAAAAGACTGGCTCAGAATTTTTAGATTGTATTGCCAGTCATTGCTCTTCATACATAAAAATATTATCAATGCCATATAACAATGTACAAAACTGCCTTTACGCATACCATTTCCTTGTGGTTGGGATAGTATGACTGCTCAATTAATGGAAATTTTTCAGCTCCCATCGTTTTATAAGCAACTACCAGTTGGGAAAACTGCAAAATATAATTAAAAAATTATGTTAGAAAAAATGAATGATATGTTATAGGGACAATACAATCCAACACAATAGTTTAGGAACAAAGATAGATGCACATCAGTCAGTCTCTTCTGAAAATGTTGGATGTCTGTGTCCCCACCGCACATGGTTTCCTTCCTCTGGCCAGGGGCATTTCTAGGGTCCTAATAGACCAGGGGCATTTCTGGCACACAGATTAAAATGCTAAGGGACTGAAAGGATACCATGATGACCAATTTGGATCAAATATGAGTACAATCGCCTTTGCCAAAATTAACCTAAACAATCAATTCAACTTGTATCAACTGAGGGTGGCACTTGCACTACAAAGATGATGGCAGATCTAAAAAAGATTGTACAATCAGATTGTATAATGTATGATCAGCTTTAGACTACTATACTCTCAACAAAAATGAATTGGTCTAAAAACTGTATTGTCACATTATGATGGCACGATTGAAATAAAATCAAAATAAACGTCAAATTTGTAGTACACTGATACACAGATGTGTTGAGGTCTTTGGGGTGTTTTTTTGTTAGAATTGTATTGAAATGTCACAAGTCACATTTCATTAAGTTCTATGGGCACACCGTAGTGCGATGCAGAAAAGGGGTTCTAATCTCTCTCCGCTCTATCCAAAACTAAAAAAAAATGGTTTCAGTTGCACTTTAAACAACTAACAATAGGAGAAACATAAAATAAATATTTAAAAAATTTACATAAATGTTTTACGTCATTTTTATTATTTATATAAAAAGCTGAGTAGGCTGGCCCTTTAAATGTCCTACAGCCATGGATATATAATGGAAGCTTCACACACACACACACACACACACACACACACACACACACGACTGCTATCAATGTTTACAGCTAATACATAACTGGACAATAAGGAGACCCATTATTCCTGCACTTACCACCCATGGCTTATCACAGAAGTTATAAATTGACTCCAGAGAGTTGACACTTGGGATACCGGCATACTGCATACCAATAATAAGGTTTCGGAAGTCTTCATTCTCTGCCATGCTAAAGGAATGTTGTCGAATAAGGACAAAATCTGGCCGAAATGACCTAGACACAATAGGAAATTTTGTATTTCATAATAAAGCACAACATTGAGAACGTACCATGAAAATACAATACCAAGTAGCTCTTATGAGACCCATAAGAAAAATCTATACTCAATATAATAATATATTGATATAATAATAATACAAAAATGA